TTAGAAGCTCTGGTAGACTAGTCAGTATGGCGTTGTGTTGAGAACCCAAAGATTTTCTCTTTCTGGTAGTTCCAATCACCAGTGGCTCCATAAGAAAAACATTGACAATCTCCTCCTATTCCATTTACAGCCTCAGAAACATAAAGAAGGGTGAGCTATAAGTTGGTTTCAACTCAATGGAAATTAGTTTGACATTTTGTTTTGTGATTTAAAGTGTTCGCTACTTAAGTACAAGACGATATGAAACACTGTTGATCTCTTTTAAAATATTTATATCCTGCAAACTTTCTGAGCTCTTGGTTCATAGGCATTCCTTTGGATTTTATGTATGTACTTTTGTAGACAATCCTCCTTCTGTGACTTTGTTTTGCTTTCTTCTTTAACCTCATGTGCCAAAATATGTGCACCTGCTCTTTTCACAATCAAAGCAATACTTCAATCTTTGCTGCTTTGTGTAAATCTATTACCACATCCCTTTCACCAAACAGGTATTAACATGCCAGACTCCAGTAATTAAGGCCTAATACATGATTGTTAACCCTGAAGGCCAATAAAGCATTGACAATGGCCTAAAATCTAGCTTTTGGGCCGCTCTTTGTTTCTCATACCTAAAAGTCAAAAGCTTTTGTTTTGTATTTCATTTCACATCTTACATTATTTAGAATTATTATCTATCTTTATAAGATCGAGATCAACATCAGCTTAGTTTGAAAAGTTTTCAAGCACCCCACCTCTGAACTCTAACATTGCCATTCCATATACGCTAACCAGAAATACTGAACTCTCCAGCTTTAATGAAAATTCCAAACTTGAGATACTACAATTCCCTGTGAAGATGGAGAAAGGTACTTAAGAAGAAGAAACCAGAAGCAGAGATTTAAAAAACCCATCTTGGTTTTGCTTTATGCCTAGACTATGTTGTTATAATTGTTGTTATTGGTTTCCGTTGCATCAACTACAACGCATCATGACCCTGTGAAAAACAGGATCTGAGTCCTGACCAATCCTTTGCCATACTCATCATCTTCAACACACTTAAGTCCATTGCTGCTGTCACTGTGTCAGTCCATGTTGTTGAGAGTCCTCCTTTCTTTTGCTGACCCTCCACCTATCCAAGCATAATGTTACTCTTGAAGGAATAGCCTCTCCTAGCAATGTGACAAAAGTATGTGAGATGAAGTTTTATCATCCTTGCCTCCAAGGAAGATTCTGGCTTTATCCTCTACAAGACTTATCTGTTTATTCTTTTGGCAGTCCATGGGATATTTAATACTCTTCTCCAATACCACAGCTCAAAGGCGCTAATTCTTCTGTCATCCTTATTCATTGTCCAGCTTTCAAAGGCATAGAAATTAACTGAAAAGACCATGGACTGAATCAGGCACATCTTAGTCTTCAAACCTACATTATTACTTTCTAGAAATATGAAGAGGTCCCTGACAGAAGACTTGTCCAATGCAATATGCCTCCTGATCTGACTGCTGGTACCAAGGATGTGGATCTAAGTAAGATTAACTAATTGAGACTGCAATCTTTTCTACATCTATCATGCCATTACTTATAGGTTTAGTAAGTGAGGATTTTTGTCTTCTTGATGTTGAGATGCAACCCATATGGAAGGCTGTAGTAGTCTTTGATTTTTTGCAGCAAGTGTTTCATATCCTCCTCACTTTCATCATTTTCATCACTGTATCATCTGCATGACACAGGTTACTAATAAGTCTTCCTCTGATCTTGATGTCACATTCTTCCTCACATAGTCCAGCTTTTCAGATCATTTGCTCAATTTACAGATTGAATAGGTATGGAGAAAAGATGGAACTCTAACACACACCTTTCCTGATTTTCTTATTTACTATAGGAGACTCTGAGAATTAGTGACAGAATTAATTATTGAATAGAGGCCTCTTTAGAAAGCTAATGAATTCCAGTTTTAAAAAATGTATGATTGTTTAAATAGATTAACAGTGTCAGTGAGTCTTTTTCTCCGACATAATAGTCTCAGTGGATCTTTCTGTTGGTAAGTGGTTCTTCTGAACATGATGAAGAAATAGCAAAATCCTTTTTACCCTGTAACTCCACCAGCCCCTTCAGTTTCTATTCATATATACGTAGCTGGCAAACAGTGTGGAAGAACTTCAGAAATAAAAAACAGGTCTTAGCATTTGCTACAATTCAGTCTCATGACCACATTTCACCACAAAAATGAGGTTGGAAAGTGTAATCTAGCTGAGTGTCCCAGAAGAAAACAATACCAGGAATTTGGCCAAGAAACTAGTAGTTTCTATTGTAATTCCCATGGTCTGAGATTGTAAGATGGATTCAAGATCAAGGAGCCTTAGTCAAACTATTAAGGAAGTATTATAATATTTTGGTTGCAAAATGTCAAAGATCTTAGCTAAAGTACTGAGATTATAATAGAAAAGTAGAGTTGTGTAAAAATTATTTTTAACTAATAAAATCAGATGTACAAGTGAGGAGAAATGTAAATAAATGTATTCAACTGTATACACAATTGAAACCATGGAATAAACCTGTATTCAACTCAAGACATATGGTTACAAACTTATTGGTATCAACAATGAAAAATATTCCACAATAATCTATTGGAGGGGGGAGAAATGAACAAGATATGATTTTCTTCTTCAAAAAAGCATTCTTTTTTTACTAAGATTGAATATATAGAGTATGAGGTGTACGTAGACATTATACTAGGATGACTAACCATGAAAATAAAGAACAGAGCAAGTCTATAAATTAAAGAAAAACAAAACAACTCAAACTCATTGTCATTGAGTGGGAACCAACACATAGCTCATCTTCCAACAGATTTTCAGAAGGTGTAAATTGTCCCGGAGGAGAATGCCCATCTTTCTCCTGAGAAGCACCCGATGGATTCAAAGTGGATGCTTTTGAACTGACATACAATTCCTCACTCCTAGGCCACCAGAGCTTACCTAGTCTATACTTAGAGGCCTATACAGAGGCTACCTACAGAGAATTCTAGTGGTTTAATGGTAAGGAGTTGAGCTGTTAGCCCAAAGGCAGGCAGTTAAAACACATCAACTGCTTCATGGGACAAAGATAGGAAACTTCCTCAATGTCCTCCTCTGTGAATTACAGCTTCTGGAAACACACTGCAGGGTTAGTTATGAGCTGTTTTCAATTTGACAGCAATAAACAACAACAATGTAGAGGCTATGACTATAGTCATAATCATTCGCAAAGTAATAACTGAAACCAATGTGAAGCTAAATGAGTTACAAAAATAATGAAGACAGAATACCAAGAAGAAAAAACATTGCTGTTGCATACAGCTAAAAGTTTACTATGCCTCAGAGCACTGAACAATGACTAGGGTTGACAGAAGAATTGATGCTTCTGAGTTGTGGTGCTGAAGAAGAGTGTTGAACATACCATTCACTACCAAGAGAACAAACAGGGTTATCCTTGAGAGGGTGAAACCAGGCTGCTCCTTGGAGGCAAAGATTTTGACACTTTGTCCCACATACTTTGGGCAAGTGTCCAGGAAGGATAAGTCTCTGGAGAAGGACATCATGGTTTCAAGAATGGATGGACAGTGCAGGAGAAGAAGACCTAGGATGAAAAAGATTGACACAGTAACTGCGGTAAAGGGGGTAGATGTGTCAGAGACAGTGAGACTGGCTCAGGATAGAGTACATTTGAGAGCTATTGTACAGAGAGTCTCTATGAGCCACGGGCAATTCAATGGCACATAACAACCACAAGAGTTTGCAATAAAGAGAAAATGTATTAATGATTGTCAAAGTCGGATTTGAAAATGAGACCAGTGTGAGGATGGGGAATTCACTGGGCTGGTTGTGCTGGTTGTGATATATGATTGGCCATTACCGATATAAAAAAAAATCGTCATTTTCTGTAATCTGGTTTTTAATAAGTAGACTCATTCCTAACTATCTTTGTTCTTCCACTGATATGTATGTTATACTGTAGCATGTTATCTTAGATTCCAAAATACTGTGCATTTTATAATCATGTGTGGTAAAATTGAGAGGTGATTCTGGTTTCTCCCCTAAAATGCAGGCCTCTCAGGGCATAAACTATGCCTCAATTTACCTTCTTTTCTCACACATTGTACCTGGACAGGGGTCATGCTTAATAATTGAATGTTCTACAAGTGAATTATTATTATTACTGTTGTTAGGTGTTGTTGAGTACAACCCATAGTGACCCTATGAACAAAAGATTTGAACCCTTTCCTAACCTGTGCCATCTTCCACTTTCTGACACACTAAAGCTCATGGCAACAGTCACTGTATCAATCCACTGGGTTCAGGATCTTCCTTTCCTTTGCCAACCCTCTGCAGTTCCAAGCATAATGTCACTGTCCAAGGAATAGCCTCTTTTAGCAACATGCCCAAAGGATGTGAGGCAAAGCTTGATCATCTTTGCCTCCTCTCCAAGACATATTTGCTTGTTCTTTGGGCAACCCATGAGATCTTCAGTACTTTTCTCAAACACCACAGCTCAAAGGCATAAATTCTTTTTCTGTTATCCTTATTAATTGTCTAGCTCTGAGATGCATAGCAAGTGATCAGAAAGACCATGGCCTGACTCAGACATAGCTTAGTCCTCAAACTGAAAAATGGATTGGTGAACTGTATTTTTCTCTTATTTGTGTCCTTAAATGAAACCTAACAGAGTGTTTAGCAAACAGGACATGAAAAGATAACTATTTGCTGTACTATTAAATCTTGAGTGTTGGAGTGGTAGTGATGGGTTGGTGATGATGCAACCTCTGAATCACAGATTGTTCTATTAAGGTCCAGAGGTAACTGATAAACTCATGAACTAAAAGGGACTTTTCTTCAAAAATAGTAGCTGTCTTTGGATTTACTGCATCTAAGCACAAAGGTAACTATAAAGATTAGAGACAAAAGTTGTGGATAAGGATGATCACTAAACACAGTAACTTTATTAATACTCTGGACTTTTCTCTCCTTCATATTAAAGAAGCCATGAGAGAAGAAAACCAGTCCTCGACTTCGGGCTTCATTCTCCTGGGAATTACTGGCAAGCAGGAGCAGGAAGACGTCTTCTTCATCCTCTTCCTGTTTATTTACCCCATCACATTGGTTGGAAACCTGCTCATCATCTTGGCCATCCACTCTGACAACCGCCTTCACAATCCCATGTACTTTTTCCTTGCCAATCTCTCCTTTGTTGACATTCTGTTCTCATCTGTGACTGTCCCAAAGATGCTAACAAACTATATTTTGAACAGTAAAGACATCACCTTCGGAGAATGTCTAACACAGATGAATTTCATGATTGCCTTGGCCAACACAGATAGTTATATCTTGTCTGTGATGGCTTATGACCGTGCTGTGGCCATCAGCCGCCCCCTTCATTATACAACGATTATCAGCCCAAGGTCTTGTATCCTGCTTGTTGCTGCGTCATGGGTGATTGCAAACACCAATGCCCTTCTACACACTCTGCTTACAGCCAGTCTATCCTTCTGTGGCAACAAGGAAGTGGCCAACTTTTACTGTAGCATTATCCCTCTGCTCAAATTATCCTGTTCTGATATTCACTTTAATGCGAAAATGATGTATGTAGGGGTTAGTATATTCTGTGTGCCATTGATAGGCATCATTATCTCCTATGTCCAGGTCTTTGCCACGGTGCTGCGGGTTCCATCCACCAAAGGCTTGCTCAAAGCCTTCTCCACCTGTGGCTCCCACCTCACAGTTGTTTCTTTGTATTATGGGACAGTGATGGGTACGTATTTCCGTCCTCTGACCAGTTATGGCCTAAAGGATGCAGTGGTGACTGTAATGTACACAGCAGTGACGCCAATGCTAAATCCTTTCATCTACAGTCTGAGAAATCGGGACATGAAGGCTGCCTTGAAGAAACTTTTCATCAGGAGAATGTCCTCATAACCAATGTAAGCTCATCCAGTGAAGACAATTATCACCATCAAGGATTCATTTAATGGTCCAGCACAATGTTATCACCCTCAAAGAGTCATCTCTGATCTTTCTAGGTAGAAAATTCCTCTTCTCAGAAACCTTGTACTAGTTTTCTGAAACATCTTACTAACACTTTATACTCATTTTTGCTCCTCTTGGCAAAGTGAATTATAGAAATATTGGGTTCAAATCCCAATTATCCCATGAACTAGCACAGTAAACTTGAAAAGATTTGAACCTACACTTACACCCTGACGTGTTATCATCTATCCAGCCTCCGGCCAGGGTTGAGAAGATCACATAAACTCATGCTTTAAATATAAGTCAATATTGAAATGCGGTTTTATGGCACTACTGTATTTAATCATGCTTACTATGCTTATAGGTAGCTGAGATACAGTGGTTAAAGCACCCAGTTGCTAACACAAAGGTCAGTGGTTCAAACCCACTGATTACTTCATGGCTAAATGATGTGGCACTTTGCTTCTGTAAAGATTTGAAACCTTAAGACCCTTTGGGATGTTCTACCCTGCCTTACAGGGTCACCATGTGTTGGAATCAACTTGATGGCAGTGATTTACATTATTTTACTCCCTTTGTCTAACAAATTTAGAGAAATAACATGAGGCTGCTATAACAGTTAATGCAATGATTTCCTCTCTTTTTCTTTGATATTCATTGTTGACTCACAGTTGTGGTACTAGAGTGAGGTTTATTAGAGAAATAAGTTAGGAGGTGGGAAAGGTAAAGAATGTCTTATAATACAAGTCCAGATTTAGTTATAAGTCAGCTTTCCTTCAAGCTTCTGTCAGAACAGTAAAACCTTTAACTATGGCCAGCACAAGTGCAAGAAGCCTCAGGTCCCACATTGTCACAGTTTCCCCACAGCAATGGCACAATCTCCCCACCACCATCACCAGGGTCTCACTACCAGAGTCTTGCTCTCACAAGGATCTTGTTCCCATCTCCCTCAAGTCTTGCTGCCCAGTGTGGAAAGCACTCTTTCTCTTACCCTAATCCCATTGCTGTTGATGATCTGTAAGACCATGTGCCTACAGTTAAGGTAGATGGATACCAGAGAGGGCTAAGATAATGGCTAGAAAAGCCAACTTTTAAGTTATTACCACACTTGGCATTTCTCAAAGTGAAAAAAAAGTTCAAGATACAAATTGCAATACTGAAGGATTCAATGGCAAAACTGTTTAATGATGTTGGAAGCATCAAAAGAAAATGTAAGGAATACCCAGTCACTGTACCAGAAAGAATTAGTAGACATTGAAACATTTCAGGAAGTAGTATACGATCAAGAAACAATGGTAAGGAAGGGACAAGTCCAAGCTACACTGAAGGCATGGAGTGGGAAGAATAAAGCCATTATATTTTAAAAAATTGATATAATGGCAGCTAACATGTTTAAACAAACATATGCAGACCTGGACGTGCTCACTAGTCTATACCAAAAAATCCTAGAAGACAAGCTATCTGGCCAAATGACTAGAAAAGACCTACATTTATCCCCATTTCAAACAATATTGTGTGGTATTTACCAAACAATATCATTAATAACACATACAAGTAAAATCTTATTGAAGATTATACTAAAATTACCAGATTAGCACATTAACAGGGGGAGAAAACCCACCAAAATAGGGAACTGACAGAAATTCAAATGGAATCCAGGAGAGGCCATGGCAGAAGGGATATCATTGTTGATGTCAGAAAGGCAAAGAATACTAGAATAATGTCTCTTTGTCTTTTGTGTATTATGAAAAGTCACTGGACTGTTCCAATCATAGCAAATTATAGATAACTTTGAGAAGAATAAGAAGTCTAGAACAATCAGCTGGGCTCATGCAAAACCTATACATAGACTTAGAAGCTATTGTATGAAAGATCAAGGAAAACAACATGGTTTAAAATCAGTAAAAGTGTGCATCAGGGTTGTATTCTTTCTCCATATTTATTCAATCTTTATGAAATCATATGAGAATCTGGACTATATCAATAGGAATGTAGCATTAGGAAGAAACAAGACTCATCAATAAATTGAATTATGAAGCTGACACAACCTTGTCTGCTGAAAGTGAAGACTCTAAACACTTGCAGTGGAAGGTCAAAGACTACAGCTTTCAATATGGAATACATCTCAACATAAAGATAACAGAAATCCTGACCACTGAACAAATAGGCAAAATTCTGATGAATAAAGACAAGATTGAAGTTGTGAACTATTTCATTTTACTTGGATCCACCATTAACAACCAGAATAGCAAGGGTAAAGAAATCAAAAGACATGTTGAATCAGGGAAAAGTGCTATCTCCAAAAAAAGTACCTCTCCAAAGTGCTAAAGAGTAACTATGTCACTTTAAAAACTGAGGTGCACCTGATCCAAGCCGTGGTCTTTTCAATTACTTGTTATGCATCTGAAAGTTGGACAATGAGTAAGGATCACAGAAGAACTAATGCTTTTGAATAATGATATTGGAGAAGAGAGCTAAATACCTGATGGACTGCAAAAAAGAACAGGTAAGTCTCTCTTTGAGGATGCAACCAGGGTCCTCCTTAGAGGCAAGGAAGGTGAAACTTCATTTCATATATATTGGGCATGTTGTCAGGAGGAAACAGTCCTGGGGGGAAAAAAACCCCGTCATGCTGGGAAAGGTGGAGGCTCAGAGAAAGTGAAGAAGACTTCCAACAAGATAGATTTATTTACATGGTGACTGCAAAAATAGGCCCAAGCCAGGGAGAAAAATGCAACAATCAATGACTAGAAATCCAAAATCTCTGTGAACGTTCATTAAAATTAATAAAATAAAATTAAAAGAATAGGCCCAAGCATATCAGAGACTGTTAGCACAGTGTAGGATAGAGTACAGTTAAAATCTGTTGTTAATAGAGTCAATATGAATTATAGTCAAGTTGACAACCCCTAACAATATTTGTCAATTTTCATCAACATTTGTCATTTTAACAGTTTTAAAGGGGGGAATTCAGTGGCATTAATTATATTCAGTGTTGTGCAACTGTCACCACCATCTCTGTATTTTTTTATTTACCTCTTATTGTGATCTGAGTGAGTTCATAGAGAGAATTTTTTTTCCATTCCACAATACATAAATGTTTCATGACATTAGAGAGAAAAAACCAGCAAGGGCTGGACAAAAGCTCTAGAGTTCAACTGTACTATGTTATGTAATTGTTAAGTGCTGTTGAGTCACAGGCAACTCATAGTCACCCTATGAATGAAAGTCCTGGACACTTCCTGTATAACTTTCGTCCTTTCTCCAGGTTCATAGGGTTTCCAGAAGCAATCTATTGTGGAAGTGGATGCCACTCCTGCTTCCAAGCTTGTTTTAACTGGGGAGCTTCACCAAACACTGTCCACCATGGGTAACAGTATTCGGCTTCACAGCAACCACGAGTTACCTCTGTATAGCAAGTGGACTTACTAGGGTTACACGACCTAGAAGAATGTTTCACCAAAAGCAATTAAAGGCAGGCCTGAGGGCCGTGGAATAGAGTCACCCACCTTTGGCTTGGGCAACTGTACTATAGTTCTTTTATTTAAGAGGATGACTATAGAATTTTGCAGAACTGCTGATGAGAACAGTGACATTTCAACAAATATTTTAGAAAAGCTTACCGCAGAATTTGAACCCTGCAGTCAAACCTCCTGGAAGCCAACCCTTCCTCCTAGAAAAGATTTCAAAACTATTGCTCTTGGGATCTACTGCTTCCTCTCAGGATGAAGTTGGAGGAGTTTGCAAATGACACTCAACAATTATTCTGAGCGACCTGAGGGAATTGAGCTTCAAAAGATTTTATAACCTAGTGAATTATTCCAAATTGCCTTTATGCTATGACTGGTTGTTTCCTTAGAAGGAAACTGAAGGACTCTTCCTGAATAGCTCTAACCCCACAGGTTTTAAGCTCTGTTTGCTGCTTCAACTCTGAGACTGGGAAACTCAAGGCTCCTGTTTCCAGTCCATCCCAATCCTTTTTCCTCTATTTCAGGAACAGGAGGTGACTGATCTGTGCTCCAGGCTAATTGCTGGCCCTTCCCAGCATGCTCCCAAAAAGTATAGTTGGCCAGATGGCTGTAAAATTCCTACTGTGAAAGAACAGTGAGAGTCACATGGCCAGGAATCTTTTTCACAACACTTGAGCTCAGTACAGATTCCTTAAACAGGGTGAAGCAAAGTCTTTATGACATCAAAGTATGGCTAGCTTTTAACTGAGCACTTACTATGCATTGTGTTATTTCTAGTGACTTTCACAGAATTCCACAGAGGTAAGTAGAATTGGTTAGTCATTTTTGTCAAATGAAAAATAAAATCACAGGAAGGTAGTCCTGACTTGGTTTCTCTTATTTAAATGTTATAGCCTGAATTAATAGTGGTGGAGGGACCGTGAGTGGTTGTATATGCACATTTTTTTTAATAACTTACTATTGTCCTTGCACCTAACTGAGTTTTTAAATGTTGCTCTATTGGTCAATAATTTAATTTAGTTTCTTCATTATAATTTAAAGTATTAATTTATCCAAAGATGTATGTTTATATTCAACAAAAGATCTCCTATCTATATGATCATAAAGTGTTAATATAACCCATATCCACTATACTAATTCCTAGTTCCTAATGAATAAAGTACAAAGTCCTTGCTTTGGTTTAAAATCCTCCACAATAATAATCCAAAACTTCTCTTTAATATTAATTTCTTCCTACTTCTTTTCCTGAACCTTCTACTTGCTCCTGATTAAGTGCCTGAATTTACATCTCATTGCCTGAACTCTGTCTTTGAGTTCTTCTTCAAGATAAATAACCTGAATGTCATCTCTTAGGTGACACATAGACAATAGTTTTAAAGAGGCACACTCATTTACAGTTGTGTTTTATAAATGTCATTTTGTACCGAGTCAGCAGAGATCTCTGTAAAGAAACCTGGATGAGATATAAGGGTCAGAGAC